AGAATAGCATAAAATTTAACAATAAAGAATGATTTCTACAAGTAATTCTTTAGAAATAATAAATGCTTTCATAGTATTTTAATTAAAACTTATTTAAAATTTAACATTTTAAATAAGTTAATCAATCATTTAAAATAATTACAAATTTATATTAATCACTGTATATTTCTTGTCATGCACACTAACTGTAATTTTATAGTACTGTATGTCCAATGCAATGTTGCCACACCGATTTGCTTGCTATTGTTAGATTCCTTAAGCAATTTTCGGTATATTCCGGTAGTTTTCGGTAGATCGACTTTTTGTAGCAGAAAGGAGGTTGCACATAAATACTTTTTTCGTCATTTATTTTATTATAAACTATAAAACAATAAAAAACTAACACAGAACACTTAATTAGTAAATTATTATTTTTTTACATAAGTAGGTACATTTTGTCTTATTTTTCTAACAAAATACAGTATTACATTTTATTTTTCGGAAATTAATAATAATTATTATTATTTAATATCTTCTGTTTGTATGTTTTTAACATTCTGTTTGTTATTTTTGAAATTAAATTATCTTTTACAGGAAAATCATAACAGTAATTTTTTCCAATTAATTGTTTAGTAAGAAGTAAGCCAGTGATTGTTTCAGAGCTCTGTTTATTTCTTTGTTTCGTGTTTAACAGATTTATTTACGAAAATATTATTTCTACATTAGCTGAAGAATGGGGCAGACACAAGATATTCTCAACAAAACGAGATAGAGTCTTTGCAATAAAGTCTCTTACAATATATAAGAAATGAAGGTACAAAGAAATGTTTTATTGAGAATTTTTAGATACATTGAAAATAAAAATTTCTTTCTTGAATTATCATTAACTTTTCGGTAGATTTGGTGCTTCAGTCGGTAGATCGGTCCAAAAATCGGTAGATCTACCGAAAATTCGGTAGACGTGGCAACATTGGTCCAATGACAGTAAGAAAGCTCTAACTATATATTTCATCAGAATTATAATTTGTAACAATTTTTCATTTAAATATTTTGTTCAACAAAATTCTCTGTTACAGAGACAAATTATTATTCTGATAATAAACTGAAAATCAAGAAAGTACAACAGCTTCAGAAATTACATATACAGTAGAGGGTCATTTATCCGAAAGAATTCCAGTCGGCAAATTTAAATTTTCGCTAGTGCTGTGGCGCTGCAATCTTTGGCTATATCTTGGGCTATTCCAATATTTTGTTTGTTGATGTATATGTTTTAGCTGGCAGCACTGGCACTTGTGTGTGGTGTTTTTCTGAGGACTGTGTGTCGTGCTGAATCGAACATTTTTGATACCAGATAACTTCTAAAGTATAATTGTTTTTGTTTTTATATTTTTCAATATATTTATTTTGTTCGTACAAAATAAAAAAATAATTTTTAACGATACAATAGTCTTCGTTAGGCTTAAAATTCAACGCGAAGCGACACGCAACGGAGAAAAATTTCAACATGGGATAAGTTAATATATTTTTTCGTACATAATCGGCTATCCGAAAAATAAGTTATCCGAACAACCAGTCCCCAATTGATTCGGATAAACGACGCTCTACTGTATTTAATTCTGTTCATTATTTATTAATAAAATAATTTATCTTTTTCCAAATCACAGGTTGAATTATATATATTACTAAATAATAATTGCTTATTTAAATGTTAAAATTTATTTAATTCTCAAAAATGTTTTCTGGTAGCTCTCTAATAATTTTTCTAAAAGTTTCAAGTTAAAATTCAAATATAAAGTGAAAGGCCTTAAGCCAAAATAAATATTGTCCTATCATCTTACAATCACTTTCTCTGAATATGACATTCATTCATATTGACTTCAATATTAATCAAAATTATTATGTTAAAAGCACTTATAATTAAAAAGCATTGCTCTTATATCTCTTGTCTAACTATATTAGTATAACATGTTAATAATATAAAGTAAATATTTGCCAGCTTTGGTTGAAGATTGTATTAAGTATTAAATAACACATTTTTCAGGTAATCAGGATTACTAAATAACTATAATCATATTAATGAATTACTACAATCTCAATGAACTTCATAATTATTTAAAAACTATATAGTATTAAATTAAGTGGGTCAATTTAAATAATAAATTTATTTTAAGATAAAAATGATTCAAATGATTAATATTTCATAAATAATTAAACAATACAGAAATTTAAAATGTAAAAACAACAAAATTTTTACTTGCTATTTAAATAATTTAAAGCTTTAATAAAATTTTAATGTTTCAAATATCAATCAAAATTTACGTGTTTACATTTTGAAAATCTTTTCACAGAATTATAAATATAAAACATATATACAGACTAAATCTGTAAGGATTTTTTTTTTTTAACTTTCGATTTACGATTTCTTTTATTATTAATAACTATTGTACAATGCTAGTGTCAATTTCCCTGAGGATTTACCATTAAACATTTAATATATACTTTATATATATCAGAGTTTACAGAAAATGTTCAAAACAACCTCATTCATTTCAATGAAAGTAACACCAAAAGAAATTTTCTTTAAAAAACTTTTTAAACTAAAAATATAAAGAATAAACTAGATAAAAAAAAAATACTGTAATTACGATCTTTCGTGATTCAAAGCTTCCTTTAAGAATACATCCGAGAGAATTAACTGGACAGGAAGCAGAAGCTTACCGACTTGTCCTCTGACCCTAACATAGTTAAGCAGCTACCTTCCTTGTTAGCCTCATCGATCCAGTATGTTGAATTTGGTCATTCGCTTTGGCCAATTAACTTTCTCTAAAATAACACGTAGATCTTCAATTGAGTAGGAATGAAATAATTCACGTATATAAAGTTCCTGAACTATGTTTACTGATAATCAATTTAAATGACATTAAAAAAAATAATTTTCTTCAAAGTTCATTTATATTATAATGCAACTACTGTATATTGGAATTATACGAATTTTATTAAACATAGAGTATTATTTTCATTAAAATGCGCAAGATAAATACTAATCTTGAATATAATTAATAAATTAAAATGAATAATTTTAAGACAAAAATTAATTTTATATTATTTTAAATTTCTTTTCATTTATTATTGTCAAAATTGTCACTTACGCTATTTATAAAAATTTTTACGTTAGCTGTAAAAATTAAGATTAAAAATTCTACAAGCCATATTTGAGTCGTTTGCGTTTATAATGATGTACAGCTTTTTAAAATTCAAAACAAATGCATTCAACTTTTAAATATTAAAATATTCCCTACAAATACATCTATAAAAAATTGTAAACGAATTTTTTAACACTCCCAACTAATTCTGAGCGAGTTTCCAAGAGAATTATAACGAGCTTTTGTTTTATTCAACTGTTTTAATGATCTGTATAATTTCAAAAACTATTCAAATTTAGAAATGAATTTACTAAAGCTTTTTGTTAAAAATAATAATTCATTCAAATTTTCAAATGTAAATATATTTGTTAAATACTCAAAATATCAAGTTAATTAATTACATAATCGTTCTCTTTCTTATCAGTCGCATATTATTATGACAATGATCCTACTAGCAAACATTCGAACAAAATTTTAGTTAAACAAGCAAACAAAAAAACAATCATCATAAAAAATGATAAATATTAATATATCACTTGTTCATTCCATTATATATTTATTTACTCTAAAATTGCTATTTTCTTGCATATTTTATCAGATGAAAATATCGAAAAATCAATAAATTCAATTACCCTTTAAACTTTAAAATTGTAATTAGTTTTTTGATCCACCATCATTAATGACTCATTCTATTCACACCAGTAAAATAATCAAGAAATTAGAGGTTAAAATTTCGAACTCTATTAATGGCGCGTCACTACCATGTGCTCCGTTTTTGTCACAACAATTAAATAAAAAGAAATTATTTACTGTCATAGCGTGTGAAAGAAAATGTCAAAAACATTTATATGCGCTAGTACAAAACAAATTCATTGTTTTATTAATAAACTAGTTCAAGTTATCGTTTAAGTCGGAAATGTATTTATTATTAAACTAATTTATAAATGACACTTATTCATAAAATGAAAATTTTGCTTAAAATTGAAATTTAAATTCTTCAATTTCCATACGACTAGGTCATCCAATGCAATTTGAAAACTAATCACAGTTATGATTAAACGGAATAGCAGAAACAGATGGGATTCAATTTTCTTTCAATAATGCTAAATGTATATTCGATAATAATTTAAAGGCTATTAATTATAATGCAAAAAAGTTTTTAAATAATTATAGTAAGTAACTAGACTTAATCGTTACTGTTTAAAAATGTTTAATTTATTTAACTTTAATTTCAATTAATTTTATATTATATCAAGAACTATTTTAAAATAAGTTTTGACCTCAAAAATTAATCTATAATAAAAAAAGCTTATATAAATAGTTAATACGTAATTATAAAATACTATGTAATACTAAAACAGATCATTAATCTTTCATATCGAAATTTTTAATTTTCAATATTATCGTATACGTATAATCACTTTAAAAGACAAATACTGTTGAATAAATAAAACACAAAATTATTTTTCCGAATTTAATAGATTAGGATAAATCTGGAATCTTACAATTTTTCCGAATTATAAAATAACACATTTATATTATTTTTATTTAAAAAAATGCTTTATTTTCGTTTACTCCTAAGCCCAAATCATTTATTTCGGCCATTTTATATTCTATATATTATAATAAACAGAAAAATACAGACAATGCCTAAAGGCTTTTACTATCAAGAGATCCAATGGGCGAGTTCATTGTTTCTTGAAATGAATCGATAACTAACCAGAGCGACACCGCTTCACTTTATTTTCCACTTTTCCCAAGAGCAAGAATAAAGTATAGAAAGTCATTCCTTGGGGAGAAAGGGTTGTCTCCGATCGATTTCCACCTGGACCATCATTCCTTTCAAGAAACAATAACCGTAGAATGTTCGATACCTACCAATGTCAAGCGTGTCACTCATGCTTAAAGATTCCCGTCCACTTCTCACGGATAGGAATTTGACAATCAACAGATAGTCACCAATCGCTTATTAACTTGATAACCTGAAGACCAAAAAAATAAATAAATAAATAAAATATTTAGTTTTAAAATACAATTTTTATGAAAAAACGATATATATTGAAATTATAAAATAAAATTATCATAACTCGTCGAAATCTTAAAGCATTTTAAAATAAAATAAATTCGTAGTCATCTTATAACAGTATTAATGCACAAATAATTTAAGATATGTTATTTAAAATTTCTAAATGAGCTATGTTAAATGTTAATGTAAGTAAACATTTTAATTAAAATTAAATTTGTAAAATTCGTAATTTATAAACAAATTTCTCTACAAGATTTAAACGTGTGTACGAACAGCGAAACATTATAAACTTCCCAGACACCGATCGAGGGGTGGAATAGAGGACCGGAAGTCTGTCAGAGTGTATGAATGGATTAATGTCCTCCTATAAAATAAATGCGGCGCACTTTTTTCTTTGTGCTGAATATTCAAACGCGGTCAGAATAAATAACCTAATTTCCAAATCTTTCAAATATGTATTTACACCAGATTTATCCTTCAAATTGATTTTTTATGGAAAATATTTCATAGAATTAATTTCATTAAGATTTATAATCACCATAAACGAAAAAACACATTCTACTTACATAGTTTTAGGAAGTATGATGATAATTCCATTAACTGAATCTAAAAAGTACCGTGAAAATCTTATACATTAAAAAAAATAATAATTTAATCTAACGGAAAATAATTATTAACTGGTCGAAATTAAATGCAGAAATATCAAAATCGATTTTCATTTAATCATATTAGCAAACTTTTTTCAGGTGGATTAGGTAAGGTATATTTGTAAAGACAGTAGAAGAAATCTAATTAGTAAAAGAAATTAATCAGCTTTTCTATAAGGCAAATATGCAACTGTCAGCATTTTAAATAAATGAATAGAAGTTTTTTCTTCCTTTTTTAAAAAAAAAAAAAATTTGATTTCATTAATTTTTAGATAGGGTCCTTAATTTATTCAAAGACAAAATACATTTAACGTCAATTCTTCAGAATGAAATATTATAACAATAAAAGTTTTAAGAAAGGAGTTAATAATTTCTCATGAATACGTATAAAAATTTTATCTAGAAAATGCTTTAAGCACTGTCACTAGCAGATTTAAGAATTCGTGAGCGTGGGTCATTAAAGAAAATTATCTAGATGAATTATTTAAATAATCGAATGCAAGAAATAAAAACTGAAAACGGAAATTTGATACTCAGTAAGATATTGTCTATATAATACAGAGAAAAATGAAATCAGACATTTATCTTCACTCAAACTGAATTATAAAAAGATAAATTCCATAAATAACTAAGATGTCTAATAGTAAAATCATGTAGTAAACCTGCAAAAACCTGCATTTTGAAAGATAAAAAAGTCTATGATAAAAGTAGTGAAATATTCAACATATTCTTACCTTGTAAAAAGGACAATAAAATCTCTTTAAAAAGTTATTTAATAATCCATACATAATTATTAAAAATATGTTTGTTTTATGACATTTCATATTAAATATTTTAATAATGTGTCATAAAACAAACTTATGTTCCCTGACACATCATTAGAGAAATAATGAGCTCTTCATTTTATCAAAAATAATAAACAGAATATCGGAAACGTCGCGCTATTTCCTCACTAAAAATTATCTAGAATTAATTCTAACACACGTTTCATTTTGTTTCCATTCTCACAAAATATTCTCTTCGATTTTCTCTTAGTTATTCACTTCCAGGCATGTGAACACAGATCATCGTGATCAGATAACCAGGCAGCTGGTACAGATATCTAAAGGAGACATGGCTGTTATTTCCATTGCAACGAACAAGTTCATTTTATTGTTTGGGAAAACTACATGAATGGAGGCTATGACAATCGAGTACAGTATTTATATTAACAGATCGCAGAAATATGGAATTAGTTTGTGTATGTGTATAAAGAAGTTTATCATGGAATTAGTTGTTAGTGTTTTATATTGGAATAAATTTTTCTTAAATGAAAATTTATAATTATTTTAATTATATATATATATCAGATTAAATACTGTAATTTTAATAATGTTTGAAGTTCGTTTTGTTGTTTTTAAGATGGAGATGAAAAAACACTGCTATACATCAAGTGACATTTAAAATTTTATCATCTTGTAAATTTATGATGATAATACATATATAAAACCTAACAAATAAACAAAATTTCCATACGTCTGAGAAACAATAGACAAGCAACGAGTTCAGACACTATGATACATCAAATATTCGAATTTAATGTGAATCGCCCTTAATTAAAGTTTCTACTTAATCAATATTCAGAGACAAGCAGACCGATAAGATTTTAATCAACAAGAACTAGCTTGACTAGAGAATTCTATCCCAAATTAATGATTCGTTACCTATCGTTGGTTAAAATTAGAGGGAACTGCTAGAGATTAAATAAAAAATTTTACTATTCTTTTATTTCGTTAAGAGATAAGCGAAACAATAACACAGAAATGAAGATTTAAAATTAACTTAATTTTGATATACAGCATTATCTTTTATAATGTTACTGACCGATCATTTGACATTTTAAAGGAGATAAAATAAAAGTAATTTATAAACTAATTCCATAAAAAATAAGAAAAATTTCACAGAGAATCTACAGCAACAGTAAAATACTTCACAATATTGTTAAATCTAATACCGCCATTTCGAAAATATTGATTATATAAATGTGTGCCTACAATAATTATTAAAATATTCACATTAAAAATAAATTTTCTTAATTAAATAAATGAGTTACTTATAAAATCACTTCAGATAATGATAGTTATATTTTATGCAACCCAATTCAGTCGTAAAAGAAAGATTATGGTTTCGATCTAATGTGCGATATTTAATGATAAAGAATAAGGTATTCGAACAGGTGAAAGCCATTTTATTTATTCGTGTACGGTAAATAACCAATCGTAGACATCACAACAAAAGAAGGTTGGGAATAACGAATAAGTAACGTCTACTTAAAGTAATAGCAGGAAGAGAAAACTTCCTATATCCAAAGCAGATATTAAACCAAACACAAAAAAAGCTAAACAAATATGAAAATATATTATTAATCTATATATTAAATGATTATAAATATATAATTATGAAAGTGATAATGAATGACGCAATATTCTGTCATGTAATAAAAATTTTTACACTAAAACCTCGATGCATCATTTTTGGAAGAAATAAACAAAAACGATAAATAGGGTTCTGAAAAACTATAAAAAATTACATAAAAAAAAATAAGAACAGCCTAATGGCCACTATTCTTTAAAATATATGATACAGTATTTTAGATATACTGAAATATTGTAACATTTTCTTTTGTGAAAACTGTACGCTTCAATTCGGAGTATGATTTTTTACGGCCTAGAATACTTTCACTGTCAGGGTATTGTACACATAAGAAAGATTTTACTTTCATCAAAGCTTAATGCGGCTAATCAAAGTTTGGCCCAACTTCAGTTTACCACATTATTATTATTATTCTCCCTCCTCCATATTTCAGGACGCCTGGAGGCACTCGAACAGTTCTGCGAAAGACTATACAAACATCTCTATCTCGCAGTAAACCAAAATGATAGAAATTAGAACAATTTACTCATTCTGGTATTTGTTTGTGAGTTAAATATACTTCCAACAATATGATGGAAAGCTGAAGACAAATGATCTGACAGGCAACTCTCAACAAGCAATCCAGGTGACACTAAAAGTCGCGCACACGGAAAGCGTCAATTTTTTGAACTCGTTCAAGATTATCACTCTTCGTTCCATCGAGCTATTAAAACATCGTTTCAAATTAAAAAAAATTATCAATGTGAGAAAATGCTTATCAAAACAGTGATTTTTCGATGATCAACGCGATAAAAAAGATAGTTCGCGGACTGATGAAGGGGATAAAAAAAAATAGCGTTATTTATATGGAGCTATTTCTGGTATCAAATAAGTCAGACAAAATATATGTGAAAAAACGAAGGTAACGGGAACAATGCAACGAGGTTCCACTGTGTATGGTAAATTACAATTTCCACCCCTGTATTCTTTAACAATTTTTTCACTTCGAAAGCTGATTTGAAATTGAGTATTCATTGAGAAAATGAGCTATATCCAATACTCATCAGGTCAGGCTACATATCGAGCAACATCGATAAAACTTTGTTGATCCAATATTTGATTTGAAACTTCTGAAATCGATATTAAAGCAAATTACTTTTCGACGCTGCCAAGTTTAAACAACGGATAAGATTTTCTAGAATGTTTTATTATCACACAAAATTCAGTTTACTCTTTGAATGATGTAATGAATTTAAAAAAAAACAAAGATAATTATTTCT